TTCCAGGGTCTCTTTGCTTTTCAACATAATAGAATTTACTGCCATTTGTTGAGCACTATTCTCAGGCACTGGGTCAGAGCATCTTATGTACTTTCTCACTTAATTCTCACTTTATAAAGGCTCACGGGGTAAAGGACAGCTTAGGCTGTACAACATGTAAGGGGCAGATTCAGGATTAAAATTCAAGTTCTGCAAATCACCCTGCTGCACTCATGGTATGTGAATCATAAGGCCACACACAATAAATATACCATCAAAGAAGCCTTAGTATATTTCTTTGAGTCCGTAGGCCAACAGATATTCCTCAAAGTGAATCAAGATTCATATGGCACCTGGTCTTTGTAGTACAAAGAGCCAATGTTTTCCCCAGTCTGAGAGAGATGAGCTCAGAAAAGTCTATTACTTATGAGAGATGACTGAGAAAAGATGCAGATTGATAAGAAAGGGCAGACTCTGGTAGTACAATTTTTAATCCCCCCATTCTCAGTGCCCACACTCCAGATGAGAAATGGTTCACAGTGAAAAGTAGCAATAATGACAAGAATAATTATTTTCATCATAATTGTTTCTTGAAAGAAAGGATTCTGAACTTGAAATCTTTACTCTTTATTTCTTGAAAGAAGTAATTCCGGATTTAGAATCTTTATTCTTTAGATAAAGAAACTTTAACATCATTCTTTTAGGTAACAGAATCTAAGTGTATATTTGGAAGTTGTATATTTTTGATTTAAAAAAATTAAGAGAATTACTTCCTAGTTTTGAATAATATTCCCTTTACATATGTGAGGCCCTGGAATGACAGCAGGCAACAATCACATCATCTAGAGTTTTCAGGACTCCTGACTGTAAGGTGCAGTAAACAAAGGCGAAATCTGAGCTTCCATTCTCTTCTGATCTGTCAGTGACCTGACTATAGACACACAGCTCAGTAATTTGCTGAGTACCAACTGTCAATCACATTAAAACAAAAGACAAAAAGAACAGGCACAGTGAGCATAGTAAAGTAGTTGATGAAATAATTTTATTAGCTCTGAGACAACACATACACACATCTGATCAAGGATTTACTTCACTTCTGATTCACTCCTGAAGTGAATCTAGGAAATATGATTTCAGCAGGCACTAGTGTGGGTGGAAATTTTAGCACAGACTGTACAGTGTTGGTAGTTATGAATACATATAGAGTTGCATGGTTTTGAAATATTCTTTCGTGATATTGGGAGTGACAGTATGGTTAATTGAACTGTCATGTGAGACCACTATTCATCAAGGCTTCCTGATAGATGAGATTCATTTTCCTTAAGCGAATTATGTGTATCACAGTAGCTGTATATTGAGAACTTTGATAAGCATTTCATGCAGAGCTCAAAGAAAAAGACATAAATAAGAAATTCAATAGAACAAAAAATTTAAAAATCTATTTTTATTTTTTATTTTATTTATTTATTTATTTTGAGGAAGATTAGCCCTGAGCTAGCTACTGCCAGTCCTCCTCTTTTTGCTGAGGAAGACTGGCCCTGAGCTAACATCCGTGCCCATCTTCCTCTACCTTATATGTGGGATGCCTACCACAGCATGGTGTGCCAAGCAGTGCCATGTCCACACCTGGGATCCGAACCAGCGAACCCCAGGCCACTGAGAAGCGGAACGTGCGAACTTAACCACTGCACCACCGGGCCAGCCCCCCTAAAAATCTATTAATGTTTGCATTGAGCTTAGAAATTATGTAGAATTATTTCTCATTCTTTAGAAAATACAGCATTTGAATGAAATGTCCAAAAAGATATTGGCTAATAATACAGTTTTAAGATAGTAGAAAGAAATAAACATGAAAATTATGCAATATTCACACCTTTGATTGCATGCCAAATGTGGTAGCTTTATCTACTCTTTAAACTTCATTATAAAGTAAACTGTTAGTCATCTACACATAAACTTTCAGGTGTACGAATTAAAATAGAGACTTTAATCATCCATTACGTAGATTGTGCATCATATAAATTCCAAGGTAGAGATTTGTTTGAGTTATAGCATTTAGGATAGTAAATGTACATGTGAATTCATTGTATTCCTTTCTTTGCTGTGTATGAAAGGGGGGGATAAGCCTTAAAAAAAAAAGACTTGAATGCTTATATTTGGATTTGTAACATTTTCACAGCTATAGAAAGTAATATTTTAAATTTAGCAGTAGTTAAAAAAATGAAAAAATAGATGGTCTGTGTTATTGAGGAGGCAGAAAGTGTTTGTCAGCTGTGTAGTGAAATGTATGGGGAAAGAAGTGATTCACTTACGAATTTTTAAGTGCAAATTTTAAAGACCTCTACTGGGTTCTACAAATCAGCTTCCAGTGGTGCTATGGACATAGTATGTTATTTACTAAGCGTATTCTTTGCCTAACTGAAATCAAACAGGACAGATATATATAAATCTTCACATTCTGTAGTTTTCTAGAAGGCAATGTGCTATAGAGGCTAATGCTTATTTCACTTTGCTATTCAACCTTTTTATTAACAGTAGCATACAGAAGGTTGTTAGTTTTGTACTCCACAAAGTTATAGGGTGGGACCAACTTTATTTCTCAGCACTGCTATTTTGTTTAGCTTTTAATTACACAGGGGCTCAAAGCTGAACTAAAAGTCACTTTGAGAAATAACAACTACCATTCCTAAAACTCCCCCAAAGCCGACACAACTTGGGTTGTGCTTTTCTAGTTATTTATTCTATAAAAAATACTCTGGGTGTATATATAATATATATTGCATAGAGAAATGTTTGTGTGTGGTTATGCATAAAACATGTCACACTTTATCACATTTTTATAAATCATTTTTTCTTTTGTATGTCTTTCATCATACAATTTGTTGCAATCTATGCCACTTTTTAAAATTCTTATAAAATATTTATTAAATGACTACATTGCATTTTATTTTATAGTCTCCTTTGATGGACTTATCTGTTGTTTCCAATTTTTCAGTATCTGGGCAGTGCAGAAATGAATATTGTAAAACTTGAAAGAATATTTCTGCAGGGGAACTATTAAGAAGTGGAATTACCTGGTCATACATTGTGTGCATTTTAAATATTCATATCCAGAGCAGCTCTGTCAAATTCTGTTACCACCTTCAGTGTGTGAGTACATTTTTAAGTTGATGTAAGTAACTTAGAAATGTTTCCAAATGGATGGGGAAAAATAATATCTTTATAGTTACTAATTACTGCTTGGTTGAACATTTTTCAATATGTTTATTGACCATTTGTATTTCCTTTATTAGTAATTGCTCATATTCTTTGTTTATTTTCTGAGCCATTTGTTCTTTTTCCTTTTTTTTTGTTAGTAGAAGTTCTTAAATATTCTGGGCAGTAATTTTATGTTGCATATTTTCTCTCAATCTTTTGTTTTTTGTCCTTTTTGTTTGCTTATTTGATTTTCTAACTAATAACTTTTATTACGTTTTAGGTTTCCAGAATAATTGAGTGGAATGTACAGCGACTTCTCATATGCCCCTCACGTCCCACACATACTCTTGCTTATGTTTTGTTTCTTTATGATATCTTCTCTGATCAGGAGCTTTTGGTTTTGATGTAGCCATATTTATAAATCTTTCATTTCATAATTATTATTTATTTGTTTATTCTTATTTAAGGAAGTGTTTCATATCCAAGATACTTAACCTAATGTCCTGTATTTTCCCTCAATTTTTTCACTGGTGATCGTCTGTTTGCTTTCCTTGAATCAAACTAAACTACGTCTCTTTCCAAATGTGTTCATTACTCTCACTTTCCTTTGCATCTTCTCGCATCTTTGCATCCCAGGCACTTCACCATTCAGGTATTACTCCAATATCACTTCTTCCACCAAGTATTCTCTCATTCTTTCTGTTAGAGTTCTTCCCCTGATTCTTTTTATATAGTACCTAAAATGGTTGAGACAGTATTGTGTTTGTTTCAGTATATTACTCCTCTGAATAGTTCTCGAGAACAGGATCTATAAATCTTGCTATTCCCAAAGAGTTTCATTCAACGCCTCAAAGAATAGGTTTTCTATTAAAATTTCTTAAGAGAAAGAATGTATGTTTAGTTCGGACAACTGAATACACATCTGAAACAGATAGGAGTTATTTTCAAATACTTGAACATCTGTTCTATATTAAAGGAATTAAACTGGTCCTATATAGTCAATGAATGATTGCTAAGGACAATTAGATTTTTCTCAATATAAAGAAGAAATTTTCAACAAATAGAATTCTCTGAAAATTGAATGAACTCACAAAGGAGTGACTTGATTGTCCCCAGATGTGTTCAAGCAGGAGCAATGCATTAGTATTCCTTCTATAAGCCTTTCCTATAATAGTAGACCTACTGAATGACTAAATAAAACGGTAGCTCCATTTGCATGCTTCATGAGTTTTAATTTTAGTCATTGACTATTAACACTGATGATCTTTCAGATCCTTCCAATCTCCAGTTTACACCCATCTCCAGGAACCATTTGCTTCGACTTTAAACATGACTTACTTTCTACTTACAAAAATTCTTAGGATAGATATTATATTTTACCACTGAGATAGATGATTGTATTTTCATTTTTTGGATAGCTGTTTTATAGAAGTTAAATCACTTCTCAGAGGGTTCAATATTAAATCTATTCCAAAGCCCACACTTTAGCTACAAAACCAATAAATATACATATTTTGTGTACAAATATTTGTATATTTAATACTTTATATACTTTTTACTAAATTGATTCATTGTATAAATGTTTTCCCCAAATTTCTCTGTATAAATCTCAACCACAGACACTCTAAGAGAAATACCACTTAATGTATTAAAAATAAAACAAAACAAAACAAAGTCCTGGGAATTCATATTCTATCCACTTTATATTTTTAATTTAGAATACAAACTAAATGGCAGTGAACTAGTGCTTTGACAATACTGTGCATATTGCTCAGACACTGATAAAACCTTAGTGAATATGAAATAAGGCATAATGAAAATCATTATTTCTGAAAAGAAATTTATTAGGTAGGAGCCAGGACCTTTTCTGGAATCAGAAAGGAATAATTCATCAGGGGAGGATTATAACAGAATCCTGAACATAGATTATCACTAATCATAAGGAATCTATAAGGGTATTTTGTTATTCTTTCAACAAACAATTTTTGTGCTTCTGCCACTTCTGAGGCTCTCTCCGAGGCATTGAGCACAAAAGCTGAGTGCCAGTCAATTCTGTTTCATGGCTTCCTTGGAAGAGAAGATTTGCTCAAGGTCTTCTGATTTTGAACTCTAGTTGGACATTGCTGTTTGCACATCCTTATAATCAGTCAGTGGGGGAAGGATGAAATGGCCCAACTCAGTACGTTTAGAAGAATGTTATGTCTTAGCTTGGTAGCAAGCTTGCTAGTTAGGCAGTTGACGAAACTATTGGTAGAAAGTAAAAGGATCTGAAATAATGTGCTGGAATCAGCAGTCAAAACAAGGAGGCTCCAATTCATCAAGAAAGGTAGGTGATAATCACATTGGTAGACAAGTGACAGTGATAGCCCAAATTACAAACCTGGCAATGGTTGCATTTCATGTGGAATCTCTTCAGTGTGTTCATCATGGTTAATCTCAGAAACAGTAATACTACCTTCAAGGTGAGCCTTCAGCACAAAGGGCATTAACAGAGCAACAGAAAAAAGCCAGCAGATGATAATGGTTGTGGTTAATAAGTCCTGAAGTTATATTTGAAGTTAATGAGTAAGAGTCTTAAGACACATGAAGTAATTCAGCAGAATATTGGAGAAAGTGACTACTTAGTAAAATCTGCCCCCTTGGACAATTTCCAGCAGCTATAAATGCAATAAGTTGATCAATAGTAATTCAGAGATCTGCAGCCACTGCATAAATACCTCAGAGGAGGGAAGGTACTTGGTATACAGCTCAGAGACCGGAAATTTCTAGAAAAATAGCTCAGCGGTTGGCAGCTTATGGGCCCATAACATGGGTATTGGCAATTTCTTGTTAAATAATTTTGGGATTGGCATCTGCTGGTGATATGACATGATGGTGAGAAGCCACTGGGTATGAAGCCAAGATTTTGGTAGCTTCTATACCCCAAACTACCCAATCTGCAGTGGTTTAGGAGTCGGAAATTCTTGGATAAGCAGTTAAGTTGTCCACAGCATTTGAAGCCATTGCTGATGGTCTGGCAAGCTTTAGATGTACATTGGCTGGATGTGTAGCAATTGGATACATACCCCTTGGTCTGAGTGCATGGGCTGCAGCTGGGGCTGGGTCCAATGTTGGTAGTTTCACAGGCATTGCATACTTTTCCCACCGTTGGAGAGTTGCAGGGCACACAGGAGTTGGATGGGTCACAACTTGTGGTGCAGATCTTGGGCTCACAACTGGGAGAGTCGCAGCTTGGTGCTTCACCATAGGTTTCTTGGCAGTTGTCCAGAAGCCATAGATTTCCTTGGTAGCTACTGGGTAAGCAGATCCCGAAGGTAGGGCTTACATCACTGGAGCAAAGAGCAACAGAAGAAGTCACAGGGACATAACAGTGAGTTCTGTAGGATGTGCCACTGCAATCCCCAGGATAGCCCAGAAGAGACATGGAACCCGAGTGCATGCTCAGTGATGGCTGCGAAGGTATGGTGAGGCTGTGTGACCTGAGGACTTTTTATATCTTCCCTGGTGATTGTCTCCAGACTCTCTTCCTTCTCACTGCCTGGGACAACGCAGCAACATCTCATTAGTGTCTTGTTTAGCTACAGCTGCTAACGTCTTCACATTCATATAAAAATAAGTTTATTTTGATTCTTCAAGGTATCTAATTTAGCCATTTTGACCATCACCCATGAGTTATCATCTGTAGACCATAGGTTCTGTGAACAGTGATTTTAATGTTAATGGGCAAACTCCCATCTGTCAATCACTGGTTAACATGTCTATAGGCTTCTGTGACATGGTTATTAAAAGGTTAACAAGGATTCAAGCAAAACAAGGAAGCTGTGCTTGTCCACTCTTTTGACTACTGCAAAATACTGCAGACTTGATCCTATATTCTGAAATAAGCTGAATACTTTGGCTGTCTCCACATTGTCGCTCAAAAGAGAGAGTAAAGCATTGAACTACCAAGAGAAAAAACTGTTTCCCCCAAATATGTGCTATACTCTTAACTGTGCCAGGCCACGTATTGGTGACAACTTCTCATCTGATGTGTTTAGAGAATTCCATCTGTAAGATTCACAGCAATCCCAGTGAGACTTAGTGACCTATACGAGGCCAAAAATGAATTTGTCCCCATGGGTCAGTGGTTGCTAAGTAACCAAGAAGTCTATGAGATCCCTTTCTTAAAAAGCTTCTGCACTATATAACACCAAAGAAGGCCAGTTTCTCAAGATTGTACCTTCCTAATTGACAAAGATTATACACTATACATTCTATTGTCTCTGCCATACAACCCAGTTGCAGTCAGATGTATAGCATTTTTCTACATTTCTCCCAAAGTAAGTTTTACTTATTCTTCATTTGCTTTTTCATGCACACGGGCTTTATTTCATTCCTCTCTTGAAGAATGTAGTTATTTTCGGTTTAGACCCACAAAGGGGATTGACTGTGTTTAAAAATTTTATTTGAAAGACTGAACAGTTCTTATAGGCACCGTGCCTATTAAACAACACTTTTCACTCTTATGGTGAAGGCCGAAGAAATTTTAAGATTTTTCTTAAAAGTTTTAAGATTTTAATTTAAACTAAAGAATTGACTTTTTGGTTTTGAAAGTGCAAACTGTAATTCATCTGTACAGCGTCTATTGAATTGGAAACAGCAATGCGCTATTAACATGATGAGTTCAGACAAAGGATAGTACCAACTTCTTCAGGTAGGAAAAACTACAGGAATAGTTTTTAAAAGACAGTGTCCTCACAGAAGACAATTAGATTTCCCTCCCCATTCTCTGCTTCTCAGCTAGATTTTTAAAATACATACCAATTTAAACATACAGATAGTCTCCAAACATCTCTTTTTTAATCTGGGTTTTCTCAGAGCTTCTCTTAGTATTTACTCTGTAAAGTGACAAATTTAGGGGCCGGTCCAGTGGCGCAGCGGTTAAGTTCACAAGTTCTGCCTCGGTGGTCCAGGGGTTGCTGGTTTGGATCTTGGGTGCGGACATGGCACTGCTTGGCAAGCCATGCTGTGGTAGGTGTCCCACTTATAAAGTAGAGGAAGATGGGCACGGATGTTAGCTCAGGGCCAGTCTTCCTCAGCAAAAAGAGGAGGATTGGCAGCAGTTAGCTCAGGGCTAATCTTCCTCAAAAGAAAAAAAAAGTGACGAATTTATTCTGTAAGCAACTCTTCATTATCCACATTTTGCTATCTTGTAAAGTGTCTCTCAGGCGAAAAGGGTCAAGATCAGGGAACCATATTTTCAGCAAATTGTTTGGTGATAGAGCATCCTGGAATTTTGTGTAGAAATTTTCAATGCTGAGGCAGGAAAAATAGGAAATAAATACATAAGGCTGTTGACAGCCAACTTTCCACTAAGTTACTTGATCCCAGTGTTATATAGCAGAGTCCAGAGATCGACGGAGCTTTATTTCTGCATCTCTCTATCATGCCATGGTTACCTAGAGTTTTATTTTAGGCTTCCTTGTAACAGATTTGAGGGAAAAACAGAAACATAAACAGAAAGAATGGGTCAGTCAGCTGTAAATCTTACATACCCCGTCTTCCAACTTAGCATTAAATGGTAGAGAATTTTAAATTAATATCATTCACACTAGTGTAAATTCAACAAAATAAGTAATGTAGAACATCACATATTGTAACCAATATTCACAGCGTGAGACTTTACAACATGTTTAAATTTATTTCAGTACAATAATCTTCTAAACAGTCAAACATTGAGATTTGCAAAGGCAAAGTTGGCTCAGCTCCTCTCATTTGCTTTCATGTTTTACCTTGTTACTCACTCATCACACTCATAGGTAACCATCACTCCCCGTTCACCCACCATTTTCTGTAAATCATACCTTTACAGAAGCCTGCTACTTTAGTCTCCATCTTGGCAAGAGACTGAGCAGACAGCATCAGTAACAGAGCAAATACCAAGTTCATAACAAGGTAAGTTTTAGGAGAAAGTAAAGACCATTGCCCTTTGGGTGGCATTGTCCTCTGAAGGCTTTGGAGAAGCATATGTATTACCCTGTTTTCACTTAATTACTAAAAGGATCTTCCCTTCCATTAATTTTCCTATTTATAATATTTTCTATGTGTGGAAAGCTGAATAAGATTCTCCCCCTCAAGATGTCCACTTCTAGTCCCTGGAACATGTGAATATTACCTTATGTGTCAAACAGGTCTTTGCAGATGTGATTAAGGATCTTGAGGTGGATTACTCTTGTGATGTAATCACGGGAGTTCGTATAAGAAGAAGGCAGTAGATCAGAGAGAAGGAAATGCAATGACAGAAGCAGAGATTGGAGTGATGCTGTCGTAAATGAAGGAATGCTAACAACCTCAAGAAGCTGGAAGAGGCGGGGAACAGATTTTCATCTAGAGACTCCTGAAGGAATCTGCCCTGTTGAAGTCCTGCCTCTAGTTCAGTGAAACTGATTTTTGACTTTGGGCTTCCAGAATTTTAAGAGAATAAATTTCTGTTGTGTTGTGGTAAACCATTATAGCAGCCACAGGAAGCTAATGCATTGTGTTGGAAAAATATGGGTAACTCTAACAGATAGTCTTTATGTAGTTTGAGGAGTTTGCGTTCTGTATCTAGGGCAAGTTTAACATTCAAGGAATAAGCTTTCTCGCCATCAGAAAGTCAGAGAAGTTCCCATGCTTTCTGAAGAATAAGAAACAAACTCCCTTTATCTAATGAGGCAGAAAATTCCTTACTACTCATTAAAAAAGAGTTATGGAACTCTTTCCCAATTTTTTCCAAAGGTTAAAAATCCTTTAGAGTAAACATAGAAGATAAATGAAACTAAAGTTTCCAGTAAATGGCCCTTAAAGAAAATAATAGAGGTCACCTTCTAGCCTTTTAGGTCGTGATGAAATTTTATCTTCTTCTTTTGCTACCTTATATAAAATTGTGTTCTAATTCCACTTGCCAGAGTTCTGTTAAATGATGCAACAGTGATTTCATGATTTAAAAAAGCAAAATGTATGCAAATACATACTTACATAACAGCTAAATTTTAAGTATTGAGTCTACACACAATGGTGGACATTCTAGCTATATTTTCGATGTTGGCTTCATAGATCATGAACTGTTTCAGAATGGGACAGATGGGCAAAATCAAAAATTTAGGAAATAGGAGTAAATGAAGATAAATCATTTTTAAAATAGTAAGATAAGTGGGTGGAGAGACAGGAATGTGAGTTGGATTTGTGCTTACCTTTTCAGAAAACACGGCATGAATGGAATGCGATATAGATGTAATAAGAGTGGCATTTTGAGATGGAATGGTCATGATTGTGCCTGAATGAGTTATGAATCACTCTCTTACTGAATACTACTGAAACATATTTATTAGTGTGCAACCTTGGAAAATTGTTCTCTCTCAGTACCTTAGTACTTTCTTATGTAAAACCAGAGCTAATAGCGCATACTTTGCAGGACTGTTGTGAGGATTGGATGAGACAATAAACGTGAAAATACCTAAGAAAGTACATGGTACATAGTAGATGTAAATTAAATGTTACTTTTCTTTCTAATTTGCTAAAGCTCTTATTTAGGAAATTCCAGTCACCAGACTAAAGAAAAATATTGTTAATTAATTCGGATGTTGCACATATATAAACCTCCCATAATCTCTGTCTCCTCTAAAAGTTAATGTCAAAAATGAATAGTTCTACCCCATGTAGTTAAGAAAAATGTCTTGTTTGACAACAAATTACTAATGATTCCTCTTATTTAACCCGTATTTTCCTGTCCCATGTGTCATTCACTAGTTCCTGGAAGAGTGCATATGCAGTTGTTAGGAATAAGTGCTCAGTAATACTACTCAGGTTTCCTGGGATCTAATCTTATCTCTGATGCTCACTTGGAGTATCGATTAACTACTAAATGTTTCTGTAACTCAGTTTCCACATCTTCAAAATGGAGTGAATAATAGTATTTTCTCCATAGGTGGCTATGAAGATAGTCAAGCAAAGGTTATGAAATATAGTTAGTATTTAGTTGTTAGCTTTCATCATTTTCATCAGTCTATAATCTTTGTTAGTATTATTATTATTAAATATTATTATTTTCATTATCATTATTATTATTGGGTCTCATTTAAAATCGATTGCATTTTGTATGAGTGCATCAGAAAAGAAGAAAGAAAATAAATGCACCAGAGGAGGCTGTTTTAGGCTAGACAAGTTGCTACAATCTACATAAGTGGTATATATATACAATTTTATATATAACATTCAACTTGGAGGAACTGAATAAGTTGAAGGTATTTCCTCTCATCTACATGGGAAGTAAGACATCTAGAGAGGACGTGGGTTTACATACCATTAGAATTAGTCAGCCCAGAGACAAGGGTGAGCTGTGGCTGAGGCAGAAAAGAAATAGTTTTATTTGCAGTTTAGTCTTGCCAGTCCCGGAGCTGAAGATCAAGGTCACCAAATTATTAACAACTTCCAAGTGGCTTCCAGATTCATCACCACCTAAATGAAAAAGACTGTAAATAATTTGGAGGATAAAGGAAAGTCTTTGGAATACAACTTAAGTGGGTCTTTGGGCAAGTTTCTTACCCTATGTGAGTTTCCTTATTTGTAAAAATGAAGAGAATAATATTTTTTCATACGCGTGTTCATGGGAGATTATTGATTAATGGTATGGTAGCACATTGAAAGTGACCAGTATGGTGGATACAAGAAGCTGCTTGTAGAAAGAACAAACCCCCACTGAGTACATGGAAAAACTGAATTAATTAGTTAGTTACATACATGAATAAAAGAGAGAAATAACTTCAAAGTAATAGTGATGTCCTCTACGCAACGATCCGTGAGGCGGTGGAGAGGAAGTGCTTCTTAAGTTTGATTCACAAGGCAAAAATAATGTTGTGCTTTCCATTGTTTAGAGCTAGAATTTATGGAACCCTTTTGTGTTTTATCCTATAAGGTAGAGTGGCCATCGTAACTTGCTCTGTTCAATGATGTATTACGAGACATATATAGAGTTGGTGGGTGATTCTCTTGCTATCTTCCCCTGGCCTCTACTAGCAATATTCAAGATAATAAAGACCCTTTATTCCTGGATCCTAGAATGAGAATGATTTTGGAGCTGGAACAATGAATGTGTAGTATGAGTGATAAATGAACCATTGTAACTTTAAGCTTCTTTAATTTTGAAGTTGTTAGTTACTGTGATGAAACATAGTCTATTCTGATTAAAGGCCCTTCATGATTCCCGTTTTTATGTGTTGGAAAATACACATGCACATTGAATGCTCAAGTAGTATCACATGTTCAATCAGGACCTTGAAAATATCTATCTTGCTAGCTTTCTTCAGACACTCTTTGTTTTTGTTTCTTTAAATATATTTGATTTAGTAAAACTAAAAGGCTTTAACTTCATGGAGATAATAAAAAGATACTATTTTCTAAATCATTTGAAGGAGGTTTATTTAAAAATAACCATGAAAAATTTTCTTCCTACTTAAGAACATGTTACTAGCAGGGGAATCAAGAAGCCTATAGCAAGAATATTCTAGTGAATAAGCCAACAATTACAATCACTTAGAACGTGATCAAGAAAAGAATGTAGGTTAAAACAGTAACTGAACTAAAAGCACATTGATCCATCAGCCAAAGAACAATTCCTCAGCCTAAAGTTGACACTTCTTTACAAAGCTATCTGGCAAGACGCTGGAATGACAATTCAGCATGATCTTCTAATAAGTGGAGATTGCCAAGTACCAACAGAAAAACAAGCTGGTTGGAAACTGCCGTATCTGTACGGAACAAATTGAAAACTATGAGACACATGGTCCAGGGGTCTGAAGTTTCTGGACACATAATCTAGAGATTGACAGTCATAGGAGAGATATCTCAAAGGATGGCAGGTGCTGGATGCAAAATTCAGTGGTTGATACCCACAGAAGATGAAGCTCTGCTGCTGACAGCGATATGAGTGGTGGTTCTGGGAACAGCAACTACTGGACAAATAGTTCTGAGGTCTGTTACACATTGATGGTTGACGGGAACTGGAGAGGTAAGAATTGATGGGAAAACAACTGGTTGCTCTGCAGGGCCTGGAGACACAGTACGTAGTGGAAGAGTAGCCAGAAATTTCACAGGTTTTGGGCACACAACTGGATGATTGGTAGCTGGAATGTTTACTGCAAGTCTCTGGCAAGTTGTCCAGAAGCCACGTTCTGTTTTGGCTGGGTAAGCAGACAGCATCACCACAGTTCACACCAGTAAAGTAAAGAGCAGTGGATGAGTTAACAGGAGTATGGCAGTAACTCCCAAGAGAGTGGAAGTTATAGTTTCCAGAACAGTAGATGTTGGATGACATGGTAGAATCTGAAGTAAGGATTTCAGAAAAGCAGCAAAGAGCAGCTTGTTGAGGTCTATGGGAAACTAGACCAGATTGCTTAAATACCTTGGTGAATATATATTCGGATTCTTCTCCTCCCCATATTTTAGATCAGTTTGCAACATAACATCTTATTAGTTCATTGTTGTGCTGCCTATAATAATGACTTCCCACTCATCCATAAAATGAGTCTAGTGTTTGTCTTGTAGATATCTGCCATCCCAATCTTTCCCTTGTTTATCAGACTTGAGAATGTATGATCTAGTCACCTTTGTATATTCTCTGCTTTGGTTCTGTTCCCACCCCTCAGTTATACCTGATTACAAGGAGTCTGAATGGATGTTTATCGTAGTCATTATCCATAAGGAACAACATAGGAAGGCGTAGTCTTCATCTTTGAACAAGAGACTTAATGTTGCAATACCTGGAGGAAGTGTTGATGTACTAAAATACTTCCTACATATCAAAACTTATCGGATTTGCCAGATGGAAAATCTCATATTATTTTCTATTTTTAATACTCAGCTGAGATTTTAATTGTGTGGTGTTATTCTCTGTATATTTGTCATTCAATTTCATGTAAGCATCTTAGAGTACATTTTAAAGAACTCCACCCTGACAACTTGAAATTTTTCATATTTAAAGTGGAGTTTGGTTTCCAAAGACTTGGAGAGATATATGTGATATTTTTACATGGTAACATTGATGACATATTTGCGTTTACTAGTAAAAATGTCATACATCCGATTGGTGGCATTCAAGTAAGAATAAACACGATATCAAAAGCCATCAGCTAGCATTCCTGAACTAATGAATATCTTTACCTGAGATATTCTACTAAGATACTTCGGTCATCATGCAATTAAAGTAAGCAAGGATTAAGAAAGGTTTTAATATCACAAGAAGATAGATGTCTGAAAAGTTCACACTTGGACACCACAGAAGGAAAAATCTCTGGGCCTCATTTTGGATTTTCCTCCAAAGATGTGAATTAATCTTTACAGACATCTATTTCCTGGAGTGAGTAGTTCTCCAAATATCTCTTTTCAAGCTGTTTCCCAAGTGGTCAAAAATGATGTACTTGGGAACGAGTGGAGGAGAGTAAAGATTCCAAGCAGCCACTTGGCATCTGAGAGTGTCCTTGATAATCCTTTTGGTGGATGCTTTCCTATTGCACAAAGTCCTGGTTCCTTTTGAGGAATCCGGCCGTTGAGGGTGACATCAGCAGCCGTGAAGTCACTTCCCCTCTGCAGAATCCTCTTTTCTCACCTGTACCCATTGTCTCTCTATTGTCCATTGAAGAGTCTAGAGGCTGCTGCAGTTTTTCCTGAAGAAAGATATTAAAAAATGTTCATAGAGCTTTTCACATAAAAGTGAGGAGAAATCATACACCCATACAAGCATGCACAAAGGGGGTTGGGTGAACACACTTGTGATATGTTATTTTTGATATTTTATTTCTTTCTAAAAGTCACAAAAAACATGACATTTGGTGCAGATGGAATGTAAGGTCTGAATTTCACAATTTTTGTTTCACCTCTTCTCTGAATTTCACCTTTCTTGTTTCAGGCAGTGGAAGCAAAGATATTTGACATCCCACGTGGGGAATTTTCAAAGTCACTGTACCACATTCTTCCTCAAAGCAAGCCTCAGATCACTTCACATCAGTGTGAGGCCTGTTTCTGATAGAAAATAACAGAAGAGATTGGAGTCAAGAGTTGAGAGTCTGAGAAGTCTATTTGACAATTTTCCCATCTCCTCTAAGAACGTTAAGCCCTCCAGATAAATGAAATCTTTCACATTCTTACATGCTTACAAAGAAGATTCCTCCTCTCATGTTGATAACTCCCAACCAAAATAGTGTTTTTGTGTGTGCCACGCCTACATTCCTCATGATTTAGTTCAAGATTCTCTTCACTTCTTTTGTTCTTTGTAAAGTTTGAAAACAAGTGATAATCAACCAGTCTATAAAATCTCTTCCTCAGCGTGTAGGCATGCTACATATGAGTTTCAAAAAGAAAACTAAAATCTTATTTTTTATACCATAGTGAAAATAGATTGATCTCTGTAGAACTGCCATAGAACTGATAACTGGGACATCATTGAGGCTGGAGTTATTAAGCTAAATATGATGCCATCATTAATCATCAGTAATTAAAATGTAAGTTAGATGCAGGACATGTAAATGAGAGAAGCCTGGTATCATCAACCATTTATCACATCTTAACAACAAATGCAGGAAAGGCCCAATACACATACCTAGCTGACATGTGTCCTAATTTATTATTTGTAATTCTGTTTATAATTCTGCGTAATGTCTACAGAGAACTTCTTTATGTTTGTTATATCTCCATGTAGTTGCCAAGCTCAACAACTTGAGATAAAATAACAAAAAAACTACTGAGAAGTTATATCTTTTGTTAGAAATGATTGGTTGAGGTTATGATGAAACTAACTCAAATCCATGAAAATTACATCTGAGAGTTTGTGATATTTTTGTTTTCACATAATAGTTAATTAACACTTTTAGTTAATTAACTAATTCTTATTTAGAGTCAATAAGTCTAATAAGTTCTCTATATTTTCCTTAGAGTTTTTTTTAAAGGACAGATTTCTACGACTGTCTGTTGCCTACATCATAAAGTCCACATTCCTGAACAACCTACGTAGGGTTTACAATATCTGGCACCAAGATGTGTTGTCAGCCTATCTCTGTTATCCTGCTCCAGAATCTTCATATTTAAGTTTCATTTAAACATTCAAAATGTCCTAAACCTTGCTTTTTCAATCTCAGAGACTTTGCACAAACTTCTCCTCTTCTAGACACCCTTCCCTATTGTGCCTCCTGGGAACAATTGTGCATTCCTTACAGCAGATCAGGAATCATTGTCTCAGAGATACTTTCTGCATCTCTTTACTCATTTCCATGCATGATGCCCTAAACATTCTACTTTTTTCTTTTTTTTAGTGAGGAAAATTAGCCCTCAGCTAACATCCACTGCCCATCCTCCTCTTTTTGCTGAGGAAGACCAGCCCTGAACTAACATCTGTGCCTGTCTTCCTCTATTTTATATGTGGGATGCCTACCACAGCATGGCTTGATAAGTGGTGCATAGGTCCACACCCAGGATCCAAGCCTGTGAATCCCAGGCCACCAAAGTAGAGCACGTAAACAACCATTACGCCACTGGGCCAGCTCCCACAAATATTCCATTTGATTTTCTCCATGCTAATATAGGAGTTGGAAGTCATTTTTGTATTGGCTTACTTGTCCTGGTTGTGTATAGAGATAGGCAAGAAATCCACTTTGTCAATTCTTATTCATCCTTTCTTTGAAATACTATGGGTTTCTTCATTTTGATCCCAATATGGAAATTTGGAATTTCTTTGTTCTTGTCATATCTATATCAACCTGGCCCAGAACAAGCAATGCTCACTCAAGGATTTAGTAGCACTATACCTTACATTGTCATATTTTAAACATATAACAATTCCAACGTATACATAGACAAATAATATGTACTATGAGCCATATCTGGAAGGTGAGTGCTCCCTAAGACCGTTTTCTCCATTTTACTTTCCGTTTTTCTTTTTCTTTCCTCTATAGAACTTTATTAACAAATTAATTAATGCACTTAAACATGATGTTGAATCTGTTTGCTTAAAGCCTCTCTAGCTTATAAGTCTTTGACCTCCTTGAGGTCAGAGACCAAATCTTATTTATATCAACATCACCTATTGTGTTTCTGGGACAATGTAGACAACTAATGTACATTTTTGAATGTTTAATAAATTAAATGATTATTTTTAATACTGAGATAAGAATTTTTAAAATCCCAGATGTCTGTTTGATACCTTACCTTTGATGGTTTTTCTTTCTCCATTAGCCAACTCAAATATTTTAGTCAAATTTTTTATTTGATTCCTCAAAATTTTCTCTCGTATACTTCCCCATCCTAGTAAGTAAAAAATTATCTACCTGGTTTCATAAGCCATGGATCAACATGTCACTCTTGATTCTTTTCTTTCCCTTACCACATATAAACAATAAGCAAGTACTAAGTTTCTTTCTTCTACATTTGTCCAAAATGTATCTGCTTCTATCCATTTGTGCTATCTTATCTTAGTTCCTCCAAGCTGTCATCATCTTCACAATTATACAACTTACCTACCTACTTTCACTCTTTATGCTTCTAATTTGTTCCTTATCCTATGGTCAGAGTAATATTTATTTATTCATTTTCTAATTCTTTTTCCTTTATGTATTTCCAAATAGCTGACCTGTATATTTTTCTTCATTCCAAAGGATTGTTTTTAGTTCTTACAAGAGAGGTCTACTGGTGATGAATACCCTTAAATTTTGTTTATCTGAGAAAGTCTCAATTTCACCTTCACTTTTCAAAGATAATTTCACTGGACACAGAATTCTAGGTTGGTGGGTTTTTTCTTTCAATGCTTTAAATATTTCGTTTCCTCTTCTTCTTCCTTGAGTGGTGTCTGAAGAGAAGTATGACATAATTCTTCTCCTTGTTCCTCTATAGGTAAGGTGTTTTTCTTCTCCCTGGCCTTTCAAAATTTTTCTATTTTCCTTGATTTCTGCAAGTTGACTATAATATGCTTAAGTTGTGGATATTTTGGAATTTATCTTGATTGTATTCTCTGAACTTCCTTGATCTGTGGTTTGGTTTCTACCACTAATTTGGGGGAATTCTCAATCATTATGGCTTCACATATTTCTTCTGTTCCTTTCCTTCTTTCTTTTCCTAGTATCCTCATTACAAGTATGTTACACTTTTTATAATCAGTCCACAGTGACTACTTCCAAGCTCTTTACGTGCTGGACTGGAAATTGGAAGGCCAGAATAATATTTTTAGAATGAAAGTCATTCTCTTATTTAAAACCTTAATAAGCTTTTTATTTCCTGAAAATAAAATGAAAAATATGTATT